ACGCACGGCTTAGAGAATTTTGGGACTCTCATCCTGAGGTGGGTCACATTAATTCCATCTAGAATAACTGTTTAATAAGATTACTGTCAAGCATTTCGTATTACAGATTATTCAATTTCGCCTTGATTTTTATTTCTCCTTGATTTTTATTTCTCCAAGCATTAGTATCTGGCTGTCTAGTTTTGTTCATGATTGTGATTGTTATTATGCAAAATTACTATAAGTGTGCAATCCTATGATATGCGAATGGAATAGTCCTGTGCTCCGTTGGGAAAATCACGGTTCATAAATTAGTATTATTTTTAATGAATCCAATCTGATTTTTGTAATGAGCAATTACTATCTCAATCAAAATAATTACTTCTGACCGAATCCAGATTATTCTTTTAATAATGGACAATTACTACCTCAATCAGAATTTACTTTGTAATATCTCAATCAGAGTTATTCTATGCATTTTATTTGGTCTGAAATATACTTCTATGTGTAGGGTGATGAAATTCCAGAAGCAACTTTGCCAGAGCCATTCAATGGCCCAAAGAAAGTCAATATTTTAGACAAGTTGGAAACTCGTCTCCCAACAAAATTATCACTCTGCATGCGCTATAATGACATTCTCAATAATGTAGAGTCTGCTAGCATAGATGAAAAGATGTCTACCCCTGTAGAGACATCAATTGAATTGCCTAATGAGCATCTGGCAGCAGCTTCTCACATTGCTCCATCCTTTAGAGCAAGTTTTTCTTTGAAATTTAAACAAGATTTAGCAGATACTGTACAGCAAATTTCTCAAGTAGATTCAGTACAACCCTCCCCTGCTAAGTCGGCTTCACAAGCAAGCAGTGAAAATTGTTCAACAATATGTTCCTCTCTGGAATCATCCAGTGCTCCCGCTCCCACCTCCACTCCAAGGAAAACCGTCGACTACACAGAAAACGAAGATGCTTCTCCCAAGAGGATTGATGCCATGTCAACTCCAGCTAAACTTGTTTCTACTCCAATTAGGTTGATGAGTGCCACACCTGCCTTGCGTTCACCCAAAAGATATCTTATGAGCCCAGATGACCACCCAACCAGTTCTTCGAACAAGTTAGCTAGGCGGCCACCTCGCTCAAGATCATTGAGATTTGACACCCCAGTGAAGAATGATGAGGTTGTGAATGAAGGCAGTGCCGGTGGATTACCAATAGATGATGATATTTTTGAGATCCTCCCAGGAAAACTTATCCAATCGGTATGCATTTTCTTTTAACATTGTGCTACTTTTATTTATTTATTTATTTGGTAATAATGGATCCTGTGGTTTTAAATTTCTTATTGAAAGTGGACTAAATAAACATTGCTATGCCCGTTAGTTCCCTTTTTCTTGTTGTCCCTTGAACTAGAACTAAAGTATTTTTCACCAGTGACTAGGTATGAATGCTGTGTATAATCAGCCTCACTTTTATTAGTTTGCCCACTTATATTAGTTTGCCCATTTATATTAGTTTTCGCAATTAATGCATTTCAATAATATTGGGTCGAATATCTGTTTAGGTTTACTTTGACCCTTTGGATTAATGTGATCAACATTTACTGTGCCTCTTGCAGATTAGAGAAAAGGAAAGAATGGCAATGGAGGAAAGAGACCCAGCTATCACTCAAGCAAAGAAACGGAAAAAAATTATAGCTAACCTCCCTAAGCTCTTTGACATGATTCGCCTCTTGCTTCGACAGCGGAATTGTATTACTAAAATGGAGCTTGTAAGCAAGATAATCTCAAGCCACAGTGATATTGTTGACATAAGTAAGGCACTTTTATGTTGAAAGGATTTCCAATTTTATAGTTTTTCTTTACACTAACTAAAGCTTTTCTGGTTCGTATTTGTAGGTGAAATTGAAGAGCAGCTAGATTTGTTGCAAGAACTAGCACCGGAATGGATTTCTGAGAAGCAGGTCTCTAGTGGGGATTTGCTCTTATTGTGAGTTCCTTTGGTTTAGGCTCTTTCTTTTAACCATTTGTTTGCCTTGCCTTTTCCTTTGTTTTTGACTTTATGGCATATGTCTTTTGTAGCATAAACAAAATGTTGAACCCTGAAACCATTCGAGCATCTCTTGAAGAAGCGGCATAGTTGAGCAAGAAGACAAATTAATTGAAAGTACCTATGCATGTGTGTATTAAGGTCAATGCTGTGTTGAAAAATCCACAGGTGGTCGTCGTGTTTATTTTTTGACTAGCTAGCTTAGGCTTTAGATGTCTAATATATAATATTTTTGGTAGATGAGGCTGTGATTTTGTAAATGGTGAGATCGATGGAAACAAACATTTAATTGTCTAAGATATAATGCATCATAATTTAAGGTGTCATGTTAAAGAACTATGCATCATGTTAAAATAACTGTATAAAAGAATAACTGCACATTAAAATTCCATCATTTTAATATCTATTCTTTTTTAATGTTAATAATAAATTTTGCGGAAAGTATTCAGATAGAAATATTATATATAAAAACCAAGAGTTCTTTAAATAAAATGAAACTAGTAATTAAATAAAGTAAAAAAAATGAATTATCTAAAAAATAAGAATTTAGAAGATTGAACATTCTAAATTAATAGGCTTCTTTATATAATAAAAATAAGCAATAAATAAAAATACAAAATATTCTATAAATTAAAATTTTTAAATAATTTAATTTGATGAAATTAAAATTTACGGTTGGTTTGGTGATATAAGTGAAATTAATACCAATTAATTTAAATATTAAAAGAGAAAATAAAAATAAGCAATAAATAAAAATACAAAATATTCTTAAAATTAAAATTTTTAAATAATTTAATTTGATAAAATTAAAATTTGCGGTTGGTTTGGTGATACAAGCGAAGTTAATACCAATTAATTTAAATATTAAAAGAGAAAATAAAAAATTATATAGAAAAGTAAAGGTTCTTCAAAACAAACATGAAACAAAAGATCAAAGATATTGTATGTGACAAGTTAATGCAGGAATTTTTTAACAAATCAAAACTTAATTAGAACAAAAATACCAATCAGAACAAATTTATTTTCATCCTTATGATTATTTAATTATTACTACTATTAGATTGTATTATTTAGAACAAAATTATTCGCAATTAAATTAATACTGCTGATAAAAAAACTACTATTGTTTCTAAGAAAACATTAATTTCATTTAGTATTTTAATACTGCTGATAAAAAAACTACTATTGTTTCCATTATAATCAGATAAGATTTTACAACTTGTCGTACTTAATTTCCTTAAGATTTTAGAAAAATGTTTCTTTTATACTAAAGACACTAGTTGATAACCTAATTTTAGGACAATTTTGATTATTAAAAAAAGTTAATTTTAACTTTTGTATTTATAAAGAAAAACAGAGATTGAAGAGTAAAATAATAAATAAAGTGTGCATAAAAAAATGTTGGAGGTCAAAGTAACAGTATCCAAGATTTTATTCGGTGTGAAGTTTTGAAATGGCCTAAAGTTGATTAAAGTTCAACTTATGAGATATGAACCTTTTTTTATTTTAGTCTTTTTGCAATTAGTACGTTGAAGACTGTAATCGTACTGATGCAATGAGAGTAAGCTATATAGCAATTTAGTTTGGATGCTAAATTATGTGGACGAAAATATTTCTTATATTTAATTTATTTGAAAAAAGATATTAGTATCACACTAAAAAAAAGAAAAAAAAATGAGAATGTGATTAATAAATCATATATTCTTATAATTAAGAACTCAAAAAAAAAACTTTAATAAAGAAAAAACTCAATTTTTTTTATCAAAATTCATATAATTTTCATCGCAGTACAAGTGTATTATATAATATTTGTAAAATAAATTAGACAATACTCTCTTCATTCTACATTAATTCTTCCACTTTTTTAATTTTTATCATATAAATTATTATTTTTTATATTTAATTAAAAAATTAAAAATATAAAGAAAATTTAAATTACATTAATCCTTGAAGATCATATGACAAATTGAAAGAATAATAAAATTGAGTCTCATGAACATGTTTACATCATGTTAAAAACCCAATATTTTATTCATATTAAAAATTTAAAGCCTGTATTTTATATTTAATTAACCCTATTGAATCATGTCAATCGAACTCTTATCTAACCAAGAAAAAAATGAGTGTTGACAAAAAAATTAGAGGTAAATAATAGGGAAAAGAAAATATAGAAAAAAAAACTAGTAGATAACTTTTAAATTTCGAAAATAAGCAAGGGAAATTGAAAAGTTAGATAAAATGGTTTTGAAAATGATTTCTTACATTATCATAATAACAAAAATAAAAGTTAATTTTTCTGATTATTATTAAAATAAAAAGTGTTATTAAATTTATGAAAAATATATTCTCAAAAAACAATTATAAAAAAGGATACAAAATCTAAAGAATAAGATCATATAATTGATAAAGATAAAATCAGTAATAAAACCTGTCACTAAAAAAGTAATTATCAAACAATTATTAGAAATAATTATCATTATTAATAGATATAGATATTTTATTTTAAAATTTAAGTTCCAAAACAACTCGATACCAATGTATTTGAACTAAATTGAAGTATACTTTTAAATTTTAACTCAGAGATATGTGTATGGAAGACATAACAATAAAGTTCATTAAATAATACATATTTAAAAAACGAGAAACAATTTTAATATTATTTAATCCTTATTTCTAAATTTAGTACATAAGCGGACCATAAGAATATATTTATAAGAAAATGTGCTAAAATATTTATCTATACTAAAAAGGCTATAATATTAGTTATGTTTGGATGGCTATGACATTGGACAGATTTTACAGTGCTCGAGGATTAAAATATAACAAGACGGCAAACATGTACTGGTGCAATGCAAACAATATTTCAATATTAAGCTGCTAACTGCATAATTGAATATAAAACTTTAATCGAATTCAATTATCATAAATACATAATTTAATTTTTAAAAAGATATAAATTTCATTTACTGGTTAAAATCATTAGTGTTTTTATTACAACTATGCAAAATCTGTTTAATCATCAGCATCCTTAATATAATACACAAGAACACGATAACTAGAAAGAAAAGCTGCAACATTGAACAAGCAGCATATAAATGACAGAAAATGAATTTGGTTGATTCTGAGAAACAGTCAATACATATATATATATATAATCAAACTGTATATACAATGAAATACATCTTACGACGTATTTGTGAAACGAGTGAAGTTAGTATATGAAAAGCAGTGAAAAGCAGGGAAATATGTTTCAGGAACGTAATTGAGAGGTGAGAGAGATGAAAGCCTCTTCTTTGCAAGGGATGGTGAGACCTCCCATTGGATGATTGTAGCCAAACTCTTCCTGCGCTCGGTTCAGCAGATCAAGAAACGAAGGATGGTTCAAGTAAGATATTGGAACCACGAACCTCTTCTTTTGAGCCTCTCCCACATACACTGCAACGTGACCCTTTGGAACGTTGGAATGGTTTCTGTCATGCAGATGCTGCTGCCACTTGAATATCCTGTTCGCATGAAGAGCCATAAATATTGGCAGACGAATTCCCATAACTCTGATATCTGATGCCTACAAGAAGATCTTCAAGTGAAGATTTTGGAGTGATTTTGGAGTGAGGGGGACTTCAGTTTCTGTGTATATATATAGTGATGGTTTAGAGTGTTGCAGCAGAGAGTGGGAAGCCATACATTTCCAGAAAGGATGATCAGAGAAAGATGAGTGCAAATTGCTAGTTGGAGAATGCTGCCACAAGATGAAGGGCCCCACTTCATCAAATTCCACAAAACTCTCACATGCCACAACACAAAACTGCTAAGCTCACCACTGTCTTCAAAACAGCGTGCCGTACACTGAAAACAACATACTGAGTTCACAAAAACTTAGGAACACTCGCTGTAATTTATATTAAATGTGCAACATAATCACACATCCGTACTACCACACACACACACACACACACACATATATATATATATATATATATAAGCTTTTACTCCATTTTGTTCAGAGCTATATATAATATAGTAGAATTGCTCAGCATATCAACGGTCAACAACCACATGATCTTGATAAGTATCTGTGAAATGAAATTATCAACCATCCATGTATATCATATATATTATATTCAAATTGATTATCATAGAAAGTAAACCAAGTTTACTGGGACGCCATACCAGCAAGATTATCAATACTCTAGGAAAAAAATATCATGAGTGAACTTTACAGTAAGAAAAAAAGATATTAATAAAGGAAATTATCAGTATAACAAACTGAAGAGTAACTTTAATATCATTTCTAACTGGAACGTGATTTCTGACCAATTGAAAGTGGAACTGTGAATAAAATATATAATTACAATTTGGCAATGATTAAGAAGTGGAACATATAATTTAAAAGTTGTCCTTTTTCATTAATGATAAGAAAATCAGCATCGATACGTGTGAATATATGCAGAGTGCATGCATGTGGGTGTGGGTCTCTCAATTATGCAGAGAATGGAGAAGAATGATCATAATAATGTTATTGACTGCAAATGAGTTAACAACCAGCAATTATGTCAATGTTAGAACTCAGAAATACCTTCGATCATGAGATTCCTTTTCGATATTAGTTTTCAATCAGAAGCACAACCTTAGGGCAACACTATTCACTTGATAGCATTTCACATTGCATGATGTTTTCGATGGGAAATAGGTACTTCCAGAAATCACGTAACCAGTTCTCTTATATTACTTCTTTTTTTTTTTTGTATTTGAAGGTGAAATTGGAATCTAATTTTCTTGTAAAATTTTGCTACAGTTACCTTTAATATTTAAATATTTCCGGTGATCTCAGATTGTGCAAGCTCCTTAATATCTTGAAAAGTTCATGGAATGTTTTTCTTTGAAGTGGTTGGCTTTTGATATTAACATTGACGTTAGTTTAAGGGAAGATTTATAAAATGAAGAAGAGAATGTCATTATTGATGCAAATCATCAATAATAGAATATTAATAAAATTTATTATAGGAAGTTATTGAGGTTATAATTTGTACTCTATAAACATTGGAGGATCAAATGCCTTTATTTTAAAAATCATTGAAGGATTCATTACAAGTTAATTTGATAAATTAAAATGTAAGAAAAAAATAATGCAAATAAAATTAAAGATTGAACAAAATTTTAAGATTTTCTAAAATAGAGACCAAGATTACTCATTGTTTTTATTTATTTGAAAATAAAAAAGAATACAATCATATTACAGCTTTAAAAAATATCCTGCACATTTGTTTTTTTAAATAGAAAGTATTAGAATCTTCAGTTTTGATTCAATCTTTAATTATACACATTTTACTTCTTTTATCTGAAAATAACACTTTAGGTCATTCTTATAATAAACTCTAACTGAATATCCTTTAATGAAATCCTTTCGTATGAAAGAAAGGAATCTGGAAGTTTGCTCACCTCCAATTTACCAAGTTTTTAAGTTTTTATTAAATTATTTCTTATACTAGAGTCAATTAAAATATATTATTAATAAATAATAATAATAATAAAAATAAATTATAAAAATACTTTATTAAAAATGTAATAAATATAATCCAAATCTTTTTTTTGCTTTCACTCATAAATATTATGATATTTATTTATTTTTTCATTTTAACATAACTTTTTTAAAAATTTCATGTGAATCTAATAAGATAATTCTTATGTTTTCATTTAGCTAAATAAATGTTTTAAAACTAAGTCTTAAAGTAAGTACCAACCAATGTTTCTAAATGAATTGATCTAAACTTAAAAGATAAATTACTAAAATTAAATTTAGAGAGATAAATAACTTAAATAATATTGAAAACAAGACAAAGCAAAATACAATATAATTTTGATTTGTTTGCTTAAAATATAAGCTTATGAATGGTTCAAAAAAGAGATATAAAGGACCAAGATTTTTGGTGCCAACATTGGTTTAAACAATGAATGTTTTGATTGCGTTGTTGATTAAGTTTGGAAAGTCCTTCTATCTCAAGCTAAAATTGTTTGTCTTATAGTTTCTATTTGTAAGTTTGTATATATGTTGTATTTATTTGTGAAGTATCTCGTATATTAAAACAGAAGCAAGATGTATTTATACTCACCAAGTGCTTCTTCAAGAAGTGTATACATACAGACAAACGTATGGTCATCAGGACAATTAGGTAATGTATACTTAGGACACACTTCCCAATGTCTAACTATATTTTTCATCATTTTAAAACTGCATATTTCTCTTTTAAAATATTTATATTCAAATAAATAAACTACAAAGACCAACTTGTCTACCTAGCTACCATTTTCAACTATTTGAACTTTTATAGATTTCGAAAGTTGGATTTAAGAAAAAACAGAAGTTGGTTTTATTGATAAATAAAATAACATGCGATAAAATTCTAATATGTAAAATTATAAAATATTCTATAAAAGATTATTTGAAATATCTTTATCCTAGTACTTTTTTTTTTAAAATTAGAAGTATTAACCGTATTATATAAGTGTTAGATAATATATGACACTTTTAAAAAGACGTCTTATAAATATACAATGAGACACAAAATATTAACATCACTCTTAATTCATCATCATCTAGATTCATAAAAAAATTCATATGGAAAATGAACCTAAGGCTTTGTTTACTTGAATGGATTTGAAAGAGAGTAATTGAGTGAATTTGAGAGGATTTGAAGATAAATTTTGTTGTTGTTTATTTGAGTGAATCTGGAGGTAAATGAGAGTCGATTTGGAAGTAAATTTTTTTAATCTGACATATCAATCAAATCTTACGCTAATTCTCACAAATGTTGCTTCCAAATTCACTCTCATTTACCTTCAAATTTACTCAAATAGACAACAACCCAAATCCATTAAAGTGAACAAAGGGTAAATGAGAAAGAGATGATTTGAAGATGATGAAGAAAATGATTTTCTGTTTGTTGAAAATCCCACATCCACTATAAATAAGATCAATTTATAATATATAAATAGGTGCAACCCTCACATTACAAGCTAGTTTTATGAGAGTTGAGTTAAACTTAAAGTTCACTTGAATATATTGTTTCACGGTTTTGTGAGGATTGAGTTAAGTTTAAAAATTCATTTCTTGACATTGCTTAACTAGACGAATTCAAATGCACTTGAAGGTTTATCAAAAATAAGAATAAGCACGGGAGTCCATAAATATAATCTCGATCTCTTATTCCTGAATATTTCCATATTTAATGAGAAATTATAAAAAACATCAGCATCTCAATATTTGATGTTAATATTCTTATAACTTTTGAACTAGATACTTTGGGCATCATCCAAATAAAACAACTATTTACCACTTTATTTTAATATACGTTATTTTGTCTCATTTTGGCGGGAAGCAAAGTTGCGCAATAAAAAACAGTTTTTCCCCGAAAACAAAGCCTGAGTGCGTGCATAGTAATTTTTCATTTCACTGTCACAAATCACTCATCATCAAACACCATGAAGCTCCAAGGTCCAATCGCCAAACCCCGTTCAGTTCAGTTCCAAGACGCCGGAGGAACTGTTGCAACGGAACCGCACCTGCGGCGTCGCGCTCTCCGTCGCAGATATAAAAGAAGTAGGCAAGGGTTTGCAGGATCGGAAGCGACGTTGTGAAACGGCGTCGTCACCGCCGCCAAGCAAGAGTGTGAGGAGGCAGATCTTGCAGTGGTCTTCTTCTCCGAGTAAATCCAAGAGTACTGACGATGATCCTTACAAGCTTCCGGAAAGGTAATATACATTTTACTTTTTTTAATTTCCGATAATTTAAAAAATATATGTTGATTATTGTTGTGAGTTTCATGGTTTGTTTGCAGGTATGAAATTTTGGATCAGTTCTTGGATCGCTTGAACAGTTAATTTCATTGTTTCGTCTGAAAGGGAAAGACGCCATCTTTTATGGAAATCAGTCATAGAATTGAATCTTTAACAGACAGGTACCCATCCATTAGGTTCTTTTTCTTTTAATCAATAGCAATGTTTGATCTTTTATCTGTACATGAAATGCTAGTTTATGCGTTGTGTTTCTATACTCCATGGTCAGATCTCAAACAAAGCAAAATAAAGTATATTTTTTATTTGTTGGCTTAAAATGTAAGCTTATGAATGGTTCAAAAGAGAGATATAAACAATGAATGTCTTGATTGCGTCGTTGAATGTTGGGATCATAGTTTCTTTGATTAAGTTTGGAGAGTCTTCTATCTCAAGCTAAAATTGTTTGTCTTATTGTTTCTATTTATAGTTCGTATATATGTTGTATTTATTTATGAAGTATCTCGTATCTTAAAACAGAGGCAAGAGGTATTATACTCACCAATTGCTTCTTCAAGAAGTGTATACATACCGTCAAACTTATGGTCTATCAAGACAACAGGTAATGTATACTTCAGGACACAGTTCCCAATGTCTAATTGTATTTTTCATCATTTTAAAACTACACATTTCTCTTTTAAAATATTTATATTCAAATAAATAAACTACAAAGACCAACGTGTCTACCTAGCTACCATTTTCAATTATTTGAAGGAACATAGATTTCGAAAGTTGGATTTAACAAAAATAGAAGTCGGTTTTATTAATAAATAAAATAAAATGCTATAAAATTCTAATCTGAAAAAATAAAAAATATTAGTTATACTAAGAATTTATATTAATAACATTATCTAAATAAGGGTATTTATTAGCTTGGTTATGATTGAATTTTATCAAATCTATAATAATTAGATTGGACATAGTTTTCCTTATGATTTTAAATTTGATCCAACTCAAATATATATATATATATATATATATATATATATATATATATATATATTTTAAATTATATTAACAAATAGAAGTGTTTTAGTTGAAGGACTAGCTAATATATATTTAAATTATATGAAATACAAATATCAATTTTAAATTTAAAAGATAAAAGTTTAATTTACTTTAACATTTAGAAATGATTTAATCTTAAAATCTCTTAGTAATAATAGGAGTATGTTAAATTTTTTCATAGTTATTATTGTATCCGTTTAATATTGTATTAAATAAAGAAGTAAATATTTTAGAAATATAATGTATATTTTAGAAATATGTGGTCGCTGGAAGAGTAATTCTGATCTCATTTTTTTCAATCTGATCCTTAAATCCTAAAACGCTGTTGAAACACAAATATTGACTGTTGGGGGAGGGGAAGGTTGTTCTTTGGAAATAGAGCTTTATATATATATATATATATATATATATATATATATATATATATATATATATATATATATATATATATATATATATATATATATATATATATATATATATATATATATATTTTGTATTTGGTATTTGGTATTTTGTTGGGAACCTTTATATTTTGTATTTGGTTCTGAATTTCTTTTTTCAAAAATTTAGTTCTTTAATATAAATATTCATAACCTTTTCTTGAATTTCTTTACTCAATTTTGAACCCTTAATTTTTTAATTACATATAATTTCATTCCATTCCCTTTATTCTTATAAAAGAAAGTCACAAACATCACGCAGTTCCCCTCCCACAATCAATGTATCATGTCAGAGTAAAAAAAAAACATAGATGATTGATTTGAAAATCAAACAAACAAACTATAATTAAAATTAAAAAAATACTTGATATATTGATTAAGAAATGATTATTGTTTTATAGAATGAAAAATAAAATTAAAATTAATTATTATACTTTCTAAATTCTAGTAACTGTGTTGAAAAATAAAAATTTGTAAAGGAGGGAGTAATTGACAGATTTATTATTGTACAACCTAAGATTTAAAAAAGCAGAGATATTTCTTTGGCCTCTTCATGGGTATCCTGAGAAACAGCATGTGACTAAAACTAACTATAACTGTTCAGATAAGATGTACAAAGTTCAACTACCATCACACAATTCAATTACTTTATTTCGTTCGTTATATATCTTTCTCACATTTATATATAGAAGAATTAATTATAAATACATATACTTTTATTTATTTTTTCTTCCATCACAATCCACCCAACATTATTCTATAAGGAAGTGAAGAAATGAAAATCATAAATCACAGTGAAAAGGAAATGAAGTGTTACACCGACGCTTATCTGAAACGGATGAGATGCTGACCACTTCAATATTTGGCCCAAAATCAGGATCTACATTGTGGAATTAGAAAACTCCGACATGTTTCTACTTTCTTCCTCTTTAATTTCATACCTAAAAATATCATTCCTTTATGGACAAGTTTTGAAAGTGTTTGTGTTTTTTTTTTCTTGTTTACATAAAATGCCAAATATAATAGACGTAAAAAGTTTTCTTTATTATAGTGATATATACAAAAGAAAAGAGAAAATTGTTTGAATAAAGTAATATTTTGGAACACCAATTATGAAGTTCAGATTCTTTGTTGAGTTTTTTTGTGTTGTATTCGAGAATTAAAAGTACATTGATGTTGGGATTGAGAATAATCTAAATGTAAATATAGTTTTATATTAGATAAAAATGACAAATTAAATATTATATAAGAAAAAAATAATAATAAATCAATATTTACCTTTTTTTTGTTAAAAATAGTGTCAATTCTTTGTGTGAATTGAGTTGTAATTGCATGTATCTATATTTTTTCTAACAAATTCTCTTACATGAAAAACCTACTAGTGATATTAGAACTAATAGACGCATGAAAGAATCACAGAAAGAAAAACCAACACATATTCAATAATGCCATAGAAGTGACTAATAATGAATAATAACACATATCAAATTATTTTTTAAATATCAATTTATTTATATTCAATATATTCAAAATATAACTTATATTTATCAAATAAACTATTATTAACAAAATTAATTAATAATCACTTAATAGATAAAATCATTAGTGCAAGTAAAGATTTAGACACTGATTATTTTAATAATTATATTTTGGTTCTTTAACGAAAATATATTCACGAGAGGTAAAAGATGTAAGACTTTAAATTTAGTTCATAATTGAAGTATATTTTTTATTTTATCTTTCGATTCTTTCTTCAATCGAAACCTATTTCTATTTATTTTTTAAATATTGTTTTAATTTTTTTTATCCTCACCTTTCTAGCATTTTTCTTTCTAGAATCACTACTATTGCACCCCTATCAATCAATAAATAGAGTCACCAACAAACAAAGTCACCACCACCCTTCTTATTCTCATATTAACTAAAAGGCATTAAAAAAAATACTTTTATTAGGAAGAAAAAATTATGAAACAGAATAAAAACACAAGACGAAAGTACAAACCTCTCACTACTTTCAAAATTGAAAGGAAAAGAAGGCTATAGTGGCAACATAAAGACAATTCGCATTGTCGACGAGGAAGGTAAGGGAAGAGAGTACATGAATGGTAGCGAAAACGATAATCTGATTTGCGTTTGACGAGGAAGAAAGGAGAAGGATGACTCCTATAGTGGAAGAGTGATACACCGACGCTAATGAAAAAACTTTGATAAAGATATAAAATTTGTAATATTTTAACACTAATATACAAATGAGGCTTGATTATTTAAAGAATTAAAACTCATAATTGTGTAAATACTTTTAAAAATACTATTAGTGATATTTTTAAAATTATTTGCTAAACTAGGTTTTTTATTCTTTATAATTATGAAAAAAAAATTCAAAAATGTCATCATATTTTAAAAGCCTTAGTTTTTCTTTAAAAATTTATAATAAACATATTATTTAGTTACATAAACATTAGTGAATATATTATTTAGTTACATAAACTTTACAACACCTAATATGATTATGACATTAATAAAAAGATTGCTATACATGCCTATATTAAATTTGAAAGACTACTTCAATCCACTATTTTAGTATCATATTTACTTTTGTACACATTATTTTCTTATTCACTCAATAATTTAAGTATTATTCACAAATAAACATTATGCACTGATGTACTTATTTCTCGTTATTTTCAACAAATTATTCGTTAACTAGAAAATCGAAATTTTACCTCACTAATATTTCAGTTTAAACACATTCAATTTCTATTAAAAACTATTTTATCATTAGTATAACTTTTAAAATAAACACTTTAAAAATTATTAAATTTATTAGCAGTGTAAAATTGTTACATTATCAATGTGTGAATTTCCTTTTTTACACATTAATTTATAAAAAAATATATTTTAACACCCATAAGTTTTTTACTGTTTATTTGACAATATCATTTTTTATTTTTTACTTTTATTTTTAAAAATACAAAAATTTACTTTTTATAATTATTTTATCCTTATATTATATATGGAATGAATATAAAAGTATCTCAGGTTACCATTAATTTATTGGACTCAAGTTACACACACAAAATGAAGAAAGAATATATAAAATCACATCAAATAAGAACTAAAAGTACGAAGAATTTCATTAGGAGAGAGGAGGAAAAGGGACAAAGCAGGTCTGCTTGGTGGTTGATGAAATAACTTTCCAATTGCTAAAACAAACAGGACCAACATTTTTTGAGCACATGTTGTGTTTGCTCTTTTTCTCTTACATGTTTATATGTGATATATGGTCAAGATTTACATGTATATACTTTGTCCAGGGAGCCACGTGTGGGGTTCACACTTCACACCATTGCTGACTGATACAATAATGACCTTCTTCCTTTCCTTCCTCCTGCTCTTCCACTGCGTTCAAACTCATTAATAAACCAGTCACAGGCCAAAGGGTGTTACCGTATTAGTGTTACTTCTCTTTAGAGGTGAAGGGTAGAATGGCGAGTAAGTCAGGGAGCAGCAAGCGGAAAAATGGTGCGAAGGGACAGATTGTGGATGGTTCAAAGATTATGGAGTTGGTTGGAAATGAACAAGTTTTCAGCAACTTTGTGGACAATAAGTTTGACGAGTTGGATAAGGACAGAGATGGGAAACTCTCCATGAAGGAGCTTGAACCTGCTGTTGCTGACATCGGTGCTGGACTTGGTTTGCCTGCTCAAGGCACTAGTCCTGATTCAGATCACATCTATTATGAGGTCTTCTCTTTTTTCTATTTCTTGCCCAATAATCCCTACTTTTTTTTTTCCTTTTTGGGTTTTTGTCTTCTTTCGAAAATATCTTGGACTGGAGTCTTGGAAATATTGTTGTGTTATGTTGGGTGGGGGTTAAACATGAAAGGAAATATTCATACATGTCTTTATCTGAAAGAAATTACTCATGAATGAAACAATTCTGTCAATTGTTTATGATTCCCACTTAGAAAACAAGTTGTAAGACTCGAATCGGTTGCTTCAAAGTGTCTAACTTGCTACCAAGATTGATGTTGTATGGGGCTGCTTGGCTTTTTTTTTCACTTTTTTGCATTGGCTTACACTTTGGCAGTATTTCGTGTGCAGATTATTATAATTCTGACCATGACAATACTATCATGATGACTAAGAAAAAGTAGTTAATTTATCACCCATAATAAAATACTCACTACCGTCATCTAATTTGTTTGAGTTCCCATGTCTTGTGGTTTTCCCTTTATTAATTTTATTTATATCTGTAGCTGTGCCTCCTTTTCAGAAATGTACCTGTTTAGTGCTTCAGATGTTGATGAGGAAACAGTCTGTGTCTGAACTAGGGATAAAAAAAGTCTTCAGTGACATTTCTTAAAATTATTGTTAATGTGGTGCTTGCTTTCTAGAATAAGTTCTCAAAATTGACTTCTAGCTGGCCCCAGAAGTTTCATAATCCATGAACCATGTTACCTTGGTAGGTCCAGTGGAAATCTTCCTTATCTGCTGCAATTACTTGCCTTACTCTATTTTGCTTTTAATTTTCTCCCTGGAGGCGGAATCTGGTGGCGTATCTAGTGGAAGAAACAGTGTTAAGCTGGCAATGTAGCAGCTAATATATGTTAAACTGTATGTTAAACCAGACTTGATCCTAGACCCTCCTATTGAAGAACTGTAAATTGTTATTTTATACTAGACTTTAGAGAGTCAAAAAGTTAATCTATTGTTGAAGTTTATGATTTGGAGTAGCAAAAAGTTAATCTGTTATTATAGTTAATGATGAACTCCTGGGACCCAACTCAAAATGCTAGTGCCAGCTCCAATGCTCCACATGTGCACAAAAAAGGGTGTTCCTTTAATAGCATGCTTTGGGAAAAAGCAAATACCTTGCCTAATTACTTTGCTAAATATGAAAAAATTTAGAGTACAAGAAAGAAAAGAAGCAATATGATTCTAAACTTATGACGTGATATCAATCAATGTGGATTTACCGGTGGGCTTTTCTGTTGCTTATTTTCCTTCATTTCTATTTGTTATGAAATATGAAGTACTATTATCATGCTAGCACTATATACTGCCCAGCAAAATTTACCCATTGGGCTGTAATTGTTCCCAGAGATTGATTCACTTTTGTGCCACATAGGTAAACCAAGATGTGTATCTGCATTCATTATCTTTATCTGAAGAAGAGTTTGATTTGTCACTACATTTTCATTATAAGTCCTCAAGGTGCTTTCACAATTTCTACATGTACTACCCAAATTTCCATGCTTTAATTTGTAGAAATAATGGAACAATACTACATGAATGGAAAATTCTATTGACTTTTGTATAGGTCTTGAATGAGTTCACCCATGGCAACCAAGAAAAAGTAAGCAAGATGGAGTTCAAAGAAGTTCTCTCAGACATTCTTTTGGGCATGGCTGCTGGACTAAAGCGAGACCCTATTGTTATACTCCGCATGGAAGGGGAAGATCTACTTGAGTTTGTGAATGGTCCAAGTTATGAAGCAGAAATGGCATCCATTTTCTCTCAGATTGAGTCCCCTAGTGGATCACTTCGTGACCATGTAATTGAAGCTTTTGGGAGACTCACTGTTGATCATGGAATTCCTCCCACGTCAGATTCTTGGGTAGATGCTGCAACTACTCTGTCCTTGAATGGTGTTTCTTGAACACAATTAAGTACTTGTTTTTGAAACTAAAGCTTTGTGTATCAAAACTTGATTATTTAGAGATATGTCTCAAAGTTCTTTATTTTCCTTACCCTCCTGACTTACAATTTTTCATCAAGGTTTTCAACAACATTGTGGATCCAGCTCTGTCTCAAGCTGGGCCTGCTTTGGACAAAACTGCTTCTCAGGAGACATTTTTGGAAGAATTTAAGAGAGTGGCATTCAGTGTGGCTGATTTTCTTAAAGAGAAACCTGTCATTGTTGCCCACAGCGAAAACACATTTGATGGACGAGGCGTTAAGAGATTTTTATCCAACAAGTTTGAACTAGAAAGGGTTTATTTCTATTGTGATTCATTGCAATATCTTTCTTGCTTTGAATTTACTCATCCATACATGAAATTCATCGATCTGTCGCATGATGCAGACATTGAACTTGGCTTTAGAGAATCTGTCAAAAGATCGCAATGGAAAAATATCAAAGGACAATCTGCGGGTGGCACTGGATCTGGTGTCTCCATCTGCTGGTTTGCCTCCAGTTGGTGCAATTGAAGAGGTATATTCCAAAATGCATGCAGACAAAATCATCCTCTTTCGTACTTACTTTGGGTTCATCTATTTGGCAGTTGCTTTTACTCTATTGAATTCTGTATGCTGCTAGATAGTGAGTTTTGTTGAAGAACTAAACTTGGCTGAAATTATAGGATAGATTAAGACATTTTCTATTGAAATGTTGGCATGAGTCATTACAATGGTAGTGTTATTAAAGAGATAGACACATTTGTTTATAAATTGACACTGCTGCAGTTTATTTTATTATACTCAATGGAAGCTCAAAAGTTTTAGTTGGCATGAACCAGTGCCACTACTATTTTTTATTTTTCCTTTTGGGTTATGCCAGCATATCATGACATATAATGATATCTTATCAATGTTCATTGCATTTTCTTGAGCCAAAGATTAAAAAGCGGCGTGTTTGATTTGACAGATGGATAAAGTTATTGTTGAAGCCTTTAAGATGGTGAATGCCGATGACACAAACACGGTTACAGAAGAAGAATTCAAGAAAAGTTTAACTGAAATATTGGGGGGTATCATGTTGAAGTTAGAGGGCAATCCCATATCTGTTTCTTCAAACTCAGTCGTGCATGAGCCTTTAGGCTCATCTTCTACACTCTTGCAGCCATCTTCTGGTGAGACAGCATAGTTGTCTCAAGTTTATCACCAGTAAAGAAACTAAGTTCAATCATTTTTCTCATTGATGCAAATTATTACTGGGCATAGTCTCTTTTTAAGAGTCACTTTGTATGCTGTATTATTTATGGATATGAAAATGATAGAATTTCATGAAAAAAAAACGAAACCTCTCAATTATCCTTTGCCGGGCGTGTTTATCACTTCAGTTGTAATGTAGATAAACGTCTTGCTGGCCATTGATGGCAACATAAACAGAGACTTAATATAATAACATGACATGTATTTTTCAAAGTAGTCTATCAAACCAGTAGTTGAAAGATTATTGGATGAATAGAATTAAGGAATAGTTGTAAATAAAAAATAATATGAATTATATTTCTAAATAAAGTAATGTATTACTCCCATAGATTAATATTCCAAAATTCATCAATAATTTATTATCACATAAAAATTTGCATGCATTATTTTTTATTGGACTTTTTGTTGTTTTTACGTATATCAACAATAGCAGGCAAAAAGGTTGTGGAAATTTGAATGTGCCGGCAAGAAGATGCCTTAAGTATGCCTTCACAAAAGCATGTATGTATTCATTTTGTAATTTTTTTTTATGAGAAACTGGAGCAAACGGTATATATATCTTTGAATTGGTTTATCACTTGATACCTTAGCCGATAAAAATAGAGTCTGGCTTGTGAAAAGGTAATTATTTGTAAAGCAAGATTGAAAAATTAGATGGTTGAAAGCATGTAATTGTTGAAAGGAAGTGGTAGGGATGGCAAAATTTGGTGGGCCGACTTAAAATTTTCAATTTGTCAATCTAGTTTCGTTTGACCCGTCAAAGTAGTGGGTCAGATGCGAAGTGGGTTAGTCCGGTTTTTTTTTAATAAAAATTAAAATTAAAAAATTGATTTTTATGTATTATATTATTAATTATAATGTAATAATTTAACGTGTAAAAATAATAATTTATATACATCTATATATAATTAAAAAAATTAAAAAGAGTCACAGAAGTGAGTAAACCTGATTCAATTTATTTTTAGTCAAAATAAGGTGCTGACTCATTTTAGGTAATGATGTAGCATTACATAGCTGTTGGGACATAATTGGATAATGGATAGTGTAGATGCGTAAAAATCTATGGTTTCATGACAGTACTTGAGCTAATACAGTTATCAGTTAAGATAAATAGACGAATCACAATCCTTTCTTACATTAAATATATGTCCTTTCACACATTCGGCAACTAACGAACAAAGACAAGAAGCCATGCCTCACGACACAGCAAGGCAATTCAATGAAGTTCGATATATCGTGTTTTATATTTATTTTGAAATGTAAAACATTACATCACAAACATTACTTCACAGACTCAAGACAAGGGACAAACAAAAATTCGTGGTCTACCTACTTCTCAGACATGGAATGAAAATGTTCACTGTAAGTTTGCATCCACTTTCAGGTGGAAAAGTTGGAGACAAAAAGAAAAAGGAAAAAGGATGAGTTTGTGAGGTTAAATTAGATTTAAATTCTATTATCTTAATATACATTGTTTAATTCCCTTTAGTATTTTATTGTAGGTATTCCTTTAAAGGGATCAGGTTTACTTGATTTTCTCCCATGATGTGGTACTAAAGGAAGACAGGTAGCACATCCTAGGAAGGAACAAACAATACATAAAGCTGTCTCATGAGAGATGAAAGGTCCTTTCACAAAGTCTTGGTATTTTTGTTGGATTTATTTATAATCTGCTCAAAATATTATTGTGTAGCTTAGCATATTTAGTATTTAAGTGGAATATATGAATGGTGTCTGTAATGCTGTTCAAATTCAGGATTTGTCTAGTCGTAAAAAGTAGCTGATATTTCCAATGACATCTTGTTTGATATTAGTACTGTATAATAGGAAGCAACACAACGGGTTTCTCTAGATTGATAAACAACATATTAAATAAAGCCACCCAAACCTACCTATTTTCAACGCTAACAAAATGGTGCTCCTTGTTCCTACGCTGAAGTGGATAGTCCTTTTTGCTCTCTTCATTTTTTCAGGCAATGCACTTCTCCTTTATCTGTCGCTTCTCTTCTGTTTTCACTACATGATGCTATGCTCTTGCCTTTATAGCCGCCTTTTCTTCTGATTTGCTCACTTAGCTTTCAATATTCTCTGCAGACTGCTTCGATCCGTTGGATTCGACTGGGAACATTTCCGTAACTTTTGACATTTACCAACGTACAGATGATGGATATCTGGTAAGTACAATTACACAGTTACCTGGAACTTGAGAAATATCATACAAAATTTCCAATCAACTTGGCAATCGATCCACTTTATACTATAGGCCATATATCCGGTGGTTAGCAAATTACACTGAATAGAAGCATTTGAAGCTTATTTTTCTGACACCAACTAGTTGATTAAGTTCTACCGTTTTGTTGCATAGAATATGAAATAATGAAGCGCACGATTAGAATCTTGTTTTGTTGTTGAAATCAGAACTAGAATCGAGCTTGGAATGTGTTGTGCAGGCAAGGGTGACGCTTCAGAACTACCATCAATATAGGCATGTGGAGAAACCAGGGTGGAAGCTAGGGTGGAAATGGGCTAAGAATGAAGTGATATGGTCAATGAGTGGTGCCATAGCAACTGACAGAGGGAATTGCTCGTCTTACAGCGGCTCTCAGATGCCGCATTCCTGCAAGAATGATCCCATCATAGTTGATCTCTCTCCGGAGGTCTCGAACAACAGGTCAGAGCATTGTTGCCGTGGTGGCCTCCTCTCTGCCTGGTCTATTGATCCTTTCAATGCATTCTCTTCATTTGAACTTGAAGTGCGCAACGTGGGAGATAACCCACTTGGACAAGCACCTAACAATCTTACATTGATGGCCCCAGGTCCTGGTTACACTTGTAGCCCCCTTCTTGACACTGATCCCTCAGTGTCCTCAGATTTTGGGGGACTAAGACAAGTTCCTGTTCTCAGTAAGTTAATCTTCTTTTGCCATGTAATATTCTCATTCTCCTGCAACAAATGCTCTTTTCTTAGTCACACACAATCATACATAATCATAATCATAATCATATCAAGCAAGGATTAGATTTAGAGTTTGATTTCCTAACAGACCTGCACAGTAAATGTAAAGAGACTTTTAATGACTACAAAACTCAACAATCTAGTGTGACAATCTGTGATTTGAATTTAGATGACAGTAAATGATTAGTTCCTTAGCACACATTTGAATTTTGCACTTCAGGAACTTGGAAGTCAACATGTGCATACTCCAGTTTCTTAGCAAACGCATTACCGGTATGCTGTGTTTCCCTCTCATCATTTTACAACCCCATCGTCACATCTTGCCGAGATTGCAGTTGCGGATGCAGAGAAGCAGATAAAAGTACAGCGTCTTGCATAAGGTTTATTTCTATTGCTCATGTTTCTGTGGATGCCGTTACTTTCATTCCCTCTCCCTATTCATTTGTGTGCTCATATAACCAGGCCTGATTCCTTGTCACGGTCCAATGAGGACAACACGATTGAAATTGTTGAATGCACCGACCACATGTGCCCCGTTCGAGTCCATTGGCATTTCAAGAACAACTATATGAACCAATGGAGGGTGAAGCTTACAATTTCTAACTACAATTACAACAAAAACTACTCTAACTGGAACTTGCTGGTCCAACATCCTGGTTTCACTCAAAAAACATCAACCTACAGTTTCAACAGCACTAAACTTCCCACCCTCGGAATCCAAGGTACTGTCTTCATCATGATCATACCTTAAATTTGTACTTGAACTATTAGATTTTATGTAGCCCATCATCATTTTCTGAAAGAAATCTTAAATGTGTGGCAGATGGAGTTTCCCTGTTTTGGGGAATAGATTATTACAACAATGAGCTGTTGCATTCTGATAAGGCTAAAGTGGGTATTGTGACAACAGAAATACTATTGGATAAAGATCCAAATTCTTTCACAATAAGTAATGGATGGGCATTTCCTAGAAGAATATATTTCAACGGTGACAACTGCGAAATGCCTTTACCTGACAGTTTTCCCATGCTGCCAAATCGTAGCTCTACTCTTGCCCCTACTTATTGTGGTTTTACTCTCTTGTTTATCCTTTTGTTTCTTCCCCTATTACTCCTTTAGATTTTAACATACCTCATTTCTTCAGAATGTTTTGTTTTTTCTTTACATACATTTATATCAGACTGAAAATAGTAAGTCCATGGGGACCAAAAATTGGAAAACTCCCTTACCATATATTACCAGAAATAAGTGGACATTTTAAATAAATATTCAAAAATAAATAAATAATAAATAATTTAATATCTATTTATAAATAAGTTAAATGTAGATGTCATATCTGTATATATATGAATATCTATTAAATCACATTCATATTTCGTCTCTAGACAGTCACTTCTTTATTTTTTTTATAATAAAATAAAACTAACACCATATTTAGCTTTTAAATACTACTTATATTAATAAATAACGTTTATCTCTTACATTTTTTAATAAAAATAATAATAGCTTCTTTATTTTATTTAAAAATATTATATTGATTAAAGCTTAAATAAAGAATTATAAAATTTTAAAATATAAAATTTAAAGAATATATTCTATAAGAATAGATATTATATTCATAAAATAAAGAAAATAAGTATATCGTATTATTAAAAATAGGGAGAAATGAATATCGCTTATAAAAATATTTAAGAATTATAATAAATATTATTTTGTTAAAAACCTATACGATTAAATATTTAATTTAAATTGTAGGAAATGTTATTCAGTATAAATTTATGGAAGGTAAATGAAATTTCTCCATCGAATGTTATCACCCAATTATTATTTATCCAGCTTTGAATTCATGATTTCATATTTTCTAAATATTTATACTCTTTAACTGATACATAATATTAAAAAAAAAAAGTAGCGTTCCTAACACTACAATTACTCCTATCTTTTGAACTTCTATTATAAGATGTAAAATACCTCGGTTTCTAACACATATACTATAGTTAGTATGTTGTATGATAAATTAAGGACAAAAACTAAAATTAAAATTATAAGACTCAATTATTCGGAAGAAATATGGTTTTAAAGTAGAAGAAATGTGAAATTATCTTTTAAAAAAATGTTTATAAACATATTCAAACTAACTTATTCATTATTTATTTATTTAAACTTCTAACTAAACTTTTTTTTAATTAAGGTTCTCGATTGAATCGTCATCTATTTTACAATCGGACAAGAGAGAAGAAAATGGCAAATGAATT